GTCACGTGTCGTGTCACGTGTCGTGTCACGTGTCGTGTCACGTGTCGCCTCGGCTTTAAACCACGAGATCGACGAGTCGCGGTCTGCATAGCGTGCCTCGATCTGAGGGTCAATGCGGCAGAAACGAGACCAAAGATTTTACAATGTTATAGTTAGCTGAAAATGGTTTGAACAAAAATATTATCTCATTAAAGAGAGACATTACACTGCACACGAGACGGTGTCCATGGTCTTGTTCTGGCTAATTTGTAGACAATTCAAGTTGAAGGTTCAACTTAAAAGGGAAATTAATTTTCTTGCTGGAATTACACAATATTACACAATTCACACAAGTTCCAGACTCCCGTTGTGTGGCCTTCCGCTCGTCGTCGGACTCGCCAGCTCCCTCGTTCTTCATTTTGGCGGGCTGCGGGCGCTTCCTCAAAGTGCTCAAAACGAGAAGAGTCACAGATCGACTCCATTTGATCCAATCAATTCAGAATTGAGACTCGATTCTATGCTTGAATGGACAGCTTCGTTGCTATCTCCAAAGGCACCGCTTCAAGAGCTTGTGAAGCTCTTCAAGCTCGTGGGAATCCAAGGCCTTCCTCGAAGAATCGAGGAACATGTTAGACCAAAACTATGAGTTTCTCAGAAAAGTAGAAATCATCGGTGATTAATTTAAAAAAAAAACAAAACGATACAAATACAGAACTTAGAGAGCTTCTACAACCAATTTCTCCTCAAATCAAGAGCAACACTCCTTTTAACCCTTTCTCATCCTTTGTCCATAGCACTTTCTCCAGAACGTGAGCGAGTCAAGTTTAAGGCAACTGCTCAAGCACGATGTAGTCGGCAGCCTTCTCCTCTGTCAAAGCATGTTGTCGAATCAGGCTTACATAATGCATCTTGCATGGTGCATGACTTGGGAATTGTTAGGATTTAGAAGCAGTTAGGCAAAAGATGGTTTGTACTGAGTTAGTGTCTCGGATGTCTAGTCTTCATTGAACCTGATCTGCAGAAGCTATGAGTCTGCGCAGTTATTAGGCCTGACAAACCCTGCATATTCAGCAATCAGCGTCTCTCTTACATACTTTCTGATAGCTGCGGAGTCCTTGATTTTGAAGAGGCTCTTCCTGGTGCTAGGCAATCGCTTATTCCCTCACATGATAGCTACAGCTCTTGAGCATGCCAGCTTTGAGGCGTGATTGAAATTACACACATTAAAAAAATAATAGAAAATAGAAAACTTGTTGGCCTTCCTGCAACGTGCAATGAACCTTCGGTTTGTCCCCGAATACTGCAACCTCAAGCACAGCCTCACATAGCTCGGAGGGGGCGCCATCTTCGTGCGCAAGCGACGCCTGTGTCCAACTTGCACTCAACACTGCAACATCGTCAGTGAGCCGATCAATCACGTCAAAAAGGTACCCTTTCGTTCGTTGGAAGAGTGAGATTGTGTGCTTCCCATGGTCAGATTGGAGAGAAACAGGCAGCGAGCCTTGGCTCGATGGTCATGGCATCTGTATAGATGATGTGTTGTTCTCGTGGATTTCTCAGCTTTCATAATGTTGTAGTAACAAGTGCATTACTACTAATATCAAGAAGCTACTAGTAACAAGTGCATCGCTACTAGTCCTTCTGTAATATTCTGTTCTGCACAGAATTCTGCTATGCGGCCAAACAAATCAGGACTTCTTCGTGCGCTTCTCGTCGGCTTTCAGCAAGGTTAAGTAGTTAAAACTTCGGTCCATGAAACTCTACTGCGTCTCCTTCGGATAATTCGGAGATTTGGGTTTCATTGCAAGCCAGATACTGCGAATGAAGCTGCTTCATGTCGTCTATATATACTATGATAAATATATAATCATACACGCATTGTGACAGCTTCAGACACACATCACAGCATTCGCAGCTCAGTTTCGCTCCAAGTGTTTGGCGCTGGTTCCAGAGTTTCTGCCGTTGTTCGGACTGCTCCCTCAAGCTTCAGCTGCCGCACATCCCAGCATGGGCCTCTTGGGTCTTTTTAACATCATTGATTTTTGCGCAAGAAGTGTTCAGCATCCGCCAAAGATAGCGTTTCCTGGCAAGGAAACCACAGAAGCATGGCGAGTGTCATGCACCATCTACAGTGTTGAACCCACATTGGAAATCCTTCAATCAACTGAATACAACATAGCGACGCAACATAGTCGAATGAGTGAGGACTAAAGCTGGTTTTTTGTGAAGCTACAGGAACAAGTGCCACGCTAGTAGTAACAGGTGCCTTACTAGTAGTAACAAGAAGCTACTAGGAACAAGTGCCACGCTAGTAGTAACAGGTGCCTTACTAGTAGTAACAAGAAGCTACTAGGAACAAGTGCCACGCTACTTTTTGTGATTGGAGGATCTACCCAAGCATTCCAGCAAGTCTCGCCCCTTCAGCTCTTGGTCGCAGACCTTTGCTGGATCTCTTCCAAGAAACTCCCTCAAGTCTTCCAAGAAAAGATCCAAAGGATACTCGACCTTTCATGCGCAAGGGCATGCTGTGCAAGCCTGTAAGATCCTGTAAGTCTTTATACATGAACGCTTCTCAGGGAATTGAAACATATTGTGGGATCCAAGTGTTCTTGCACTCGTTGAAAAAGGGAGGCTTCCGTTCAAAAACCAGAATAATTTTCTTGCGACTCTATGTGATGGGAAGATCTTTACTCGCCTGATGGGTTCTATACTTCCCACCTGCTCTGCAGCCGTGAAGAGCAATGCGTGAGCTTCCTCACAAGTCTTGGACGCCTCCGTCAGAACACGTTCATCCAGAAAGCGTATTGAAACAAAATTGAGCACCTTCCGAAAGCGCAGTCAAATACTCTGCACCACCACATTTCATCAAATAACAATATTGGTTCTTCGAGACTCTTCTTGCTCGACTCTTGCCTCACCCCAAGTGCTTCTCAAGGTCTCTAAACGCTCCAGAGTTAGAAGCGGTGCCTGGCGAGACAGCTCATGCGAGACATCTGACATGTCTGGACAATCTCGGCCTCTTCGGTGAAGTGCTGGTCTAAAACCCTTGCAGCTGCCTCCACTGCCTGGAGAAAGCATCCGATACAAGACCATGTTGTGAACACTTGTGAGGAACTGCGGACAATACAGATTGGAAAGCGAATTCGGGAACAATCCAAGTTGCTCTTCGCTCTGCCCTTTGCCTCTTGTGCCAACTCATCACATGTGCCCTCCTTCCGCAGTGCCAAGGCAGCTGTAGGATCCCCTAGGTCAAGAAAGGGCGGCATGGAGGCCGTCGCTAGTGGGTTGGAGGCCATCAGGCCAGCATGTAAAAGAGACTTTTCTCGACATGAAGGACAGCTATTTGCTCCTAGTAGTATGGCCAGGAGCCCCTAGTAGCGTCCTTGCTCCTAGTAGCGATGCCAGGAGCCCCTAGTAGCGATGCCCTTGTTACTAGTAGCTTCTTGTTACTGTCATGATTTCTGACGTTTTCCGGCCTTTACTTGGCACGGTCCAGGAGTCCAGCCTGAGTGAATTACACTTTGCCCCGACTTCGGTCGGGACGAGGCTCGGGCAAGATGAACTAACTGATGTCATGCTTTTCTTACTACTTAAACGACTTTATCGCATTTTTGTATATACATATACATATATTATATATATACATATTACGTGGTTCCTTTTCTGTTCTTTTTGTGATCGATCTCTTGGCAGACAGCTTTCCGTGTGCCTGAGGTCCGTTCTCCGTGAAGCTGACATAACCCCGAAGCGCTTTCACCAGCGCCTGGCACAAGTGGTGCTGTGAGAGCCATTCACGCTTTTGAAGGCACTAGGAGCAAGGACGCTACTAGGGGCTCCAGGCCTTACTACTAGTAGCATTCTTGCTACTAGTAACAATAAAGCCTTTTTTGTCTCACTTTCGGATCGCGCCTTGGCACAAATGGAGCCGTCGCAGTAGTACATTCAACGCAACTATCTCTGAGACTCTGAGACTCAGCTTTTCCACTGCGACACTGTACATATCGAGGCGATTGGCCCTCTGTTGGGGCACAAAAACACCAAACTGCAGCAGCTCACCTTACGCCGCTTGCGCTTCAGCTTCAACAAGGACCTGAGAGGCGCCTACGAACTGATGGATTCTGACTACCAACCTACTAGCAATGGCCTCCAACCTAACAGCAATGACCTCCAACCTACTAGCGATGGCCTCCAACCTTAGAAGGGTTGGGCCTCCAACCTACTACCAGCGTGCCATTTGGTTTTGTTTACTACTTTGCATTGTTTGAGAGCTCCAATCCTTTCCACCCGCGAATACAACCCCTTGTGGTTGCCCCGAAGTTATCTGCACTTTGTGACTTCGCTTAAACGAACCATGGTCAAAACGGTTTGCAACATTGTTTGAGGTGAGTTGCGCTTTCCAATGCTTTCGATAGCCTCTCCAAGGCTTCGTCCACATCTGCCTGCGTCACCTCAGAAAACACAGCAAAGTCTCTGGTGGAATTGACCACACCATGCCTTTTCGAAACAGTTTAAAGCGCTGAGAACACTTGTTTGCCCACAGGCATGCCGATCAAATAGAACGTATCCCAAAGTTGTCAGGGAAAGGGTGTGTGGGGAACCACAGCGCCTCCGTCTTTAAGCGCATCAACCAAAAACAAACCAACCCCTCCACACTGAAAAAATGAACAACCAATATCCCAAGCTTTGCAGTTCTTTGCGAGGGTACCGTCAATGCGGGCGCAATCCGAAGAATGTTGCCAGCACCAGCAGTCAAAACCAGCAATTTCTCCTGCCGCAAACTGCAATTCAATCTTTCTGGCATCTTTCGATCGCCAAAACATCGAAATTGCAAAATAAATTACACATTCTTGTTCCGTTCACAGTAAGAATGCTCCTAGTAGCGATGCCAGGAGCCCCTAGTAGCGTCCTTGCTCCTAGTAGTAGTAAGGCCAGGAGCCCCTAGTAGCGTTCTTGTTACATCAAAATACTAAGCCACAAAACGTAACTTACAATGCAGTCTCCCCCAGCTTCGCTTGCGAACTCGCCATCGACCGAACCTCTGAAAAAACTGAACCCACGACGAAGCCCGATCTCCGCAGCTGCGGCCCTCTGCACTGCGCCACATTGCTCCGCTGTGGGGAACCTGCCGAACTGTCAAAAAGTGCCTCTTCATGCGCGCTCATCTGTAGCAATCAATGGCCTCCAACCTAGCCACCTCTTTATAGGATCTTTTTATGCGAGCTCATCTGATTTCTCCAAGGCACACGACACCTATGAGCAATCCAGTGCCACGGACTTGCAAACCTTGTGGGTCACAGATCTTCTCCAGGCCTAGTCGAAACTTCGACTTTGCACACCAAACGGAAAATAAACCGAAATCGTTGGACCAGGCCTGCTTTGAGGTGGGAACCAGTGGTTCGAACCTAAGTGTAAGCCACATGGTGAAAAGTGTGGGTGCGGGTCTGTGTTCCACCAAGATTGCATGATAAAGAAACAAATGCTGCCAAGAATCATTCTCCAAGAAATCTGGATTGCTCACTTGATCCAGGACATACCGAGCGGCGGCACAAACCAGTGGGGCACCTGGGGCTGCTACGATGGTGCACGTAGCTATACCATTAGGCTGCATGTGTTCTGTATCGGTGTTGGTAAGTTTGTACGCACTTGTCACGGTAGGGTTCGTGTCGATGCGCAACTGCCTGCATGGCAATTCGCTTGGACAAACTCCAATCCCAAGCCTTTCCCAATCTTTCTCATGTGTTCATCTTTGTCGATGAAGTAGCCCTAGTTCCGTTGAAAGCTTGACTCTGCGGGTGGTCCGTCCAAATGACCCAACCCAGTCTTCCAGCCGCACACCAGTGGCCCAACAGTATCTCTCCACAGACCCACCGGTATCTGCGTCCCGCCAAAAGTACAGCAGTCAACATACTTTCAAACCAATGACAAGGATCATTGACAACTTATGGCAAGCCAACTTGCCAGCAGCAAGGACAAGCCATGATGACACCAACAACCACAACAATAACAACTATTCACAAGAATAAAACAAAAACTGTCAGACAAAACATTCTGTAACTGTGGGCTTGAAAGGAGCTCAAATAATTTCCACTCGCGACTCACATGAGCAAACAACGTATAGCGTATAGACCTGAAAAGGATATGGACTGAGAGGACACCCATGGCTCTGTGTTTACACCATGACACTATCCGGCACGCTTCTGTCTTCATCATTCCAACCGCTGATGTATCAAACTCGCCTGCAAAAGTGCTCCCATGGTCACCAGGAGAGATGCAGGATGCGACAGCCTCTGAAAACAACTGTCTTAAAGGATGTTTTAAAAGGCCCCTCTGCCCCCCTACCTAGAAGTGATGGCCAACCTAGAAGCGATGGCCTCCAAGCTAACAGCGATGGCCTCCAACCTAGAAGCGACAGCCTTCAACCAAATAGCGATGGTCTCCAACCTCATAGCGGTGGCCTCCAACCTAATAGCGATGGCCTCCAACCCAATAGCGGTGGCCTCCAACCTAATAGCGATGGCCTCCTTCAAGCGATGTCCTCCAACCTAATAGCAATTGGTTTCCAACGCATTGTGTGACCTTGTCTGTCGCGAAAAGTGCCACGCTCGCCTCTGTGAGGAGCACAGCCCCAATGGGCAACCCACCCGCCAGCGGCTTGGCCAAGGTCATCAAGTCAGGTAGAACCCCTGAGAGTTCCTGTTACGAATCACAGAAACACAAAGCTTCTCAAACCTACTCACGGAACACATGGAACTCGGAGCCCAACGTAAGCGAAGAGTTTGCCACTCCGCCCAAGGCCGCACTGCACCTGGAGGCGCAAAATCAGCTTCGAATTCCACCTGTCTGACACGTGAGGAACGAGCAACTTCACGACTCCAAGCCCCACACATATTTACGATACCCCCCCAAAACCCACCGTGAACCCACCGTGCAGAAGATTTGCACGCAAATGCCAGTTGGTTTGTTAGATTGCTTGTGTTGGTGAACCGTTTGACTATTGGTGAAACTGCTGAAGACATGGCTTTTCAGCAGACATATGGTTGAACCACGTTCATTGTTTGAAGACTGCGCATTGTAGTTGATCAACGACATAGTTTGATTCCAGACGGAAGCACAGGTGGAAGAGGTCATTCTTTGTATGAAGAGCAGGGAGGATGCGCAGCAGACTTGTAGATGCAGAAGAGGACGCAGTAATTTTTCCAGTGGTCAACATCATTTTCAAAAACAGCTCTTCGACATAAACTTTGCCATTCCCTGACAGACAAGAATCTTCCTCAGATGAGGCGCCTGCTCTCCCACCTCCGCCGGTCACCATCCCAAATCCGGCTTTGAAGTGCAACTGCCTTGGGATGTTCCGGGAAGTTCCGCTAGCAGCCAGCAATTCCGACGATGGAGCTGGAAGCCTGTGCGTGTGATGCAGAAATGGCTGCGGCAGAATGGGAGCAGACCGCGTGGCGTGCAGATGACGTGGACTTTGGCGCAGATGCAGAGGCCGCAGAGGGTCGGATCGCCTGCTTGAAACGATCCGTTGTTCTTTTAGTAGGGCAAAATGCTCTCTACTCCCTAGCCAAGATCCAGAAGGCAAAGTGCATCGAGTGAAGGTGGCGACCTGCACAAGGACCTCTTGGCCGAAAAGGACAAGCCACTGTACTCCAAGTACAAGCTTGGCATTGTGGAGTATGTCCCCCAATGGGAGGAAGAAACTCCATACAGTCTCCAGTGGCATGCAAAAGTTCGCAGCAGGAAGACCAGGAGCTTGCATCAAGTATGCCAATGACGAAATTTAATCCCAGCTCTGCGCAGCCCTCCCCCCAGTGCATCTCCCTGACAGACAAGGAGAATCTTTGTATACCCTCCAGTTCACATCAGCTGACTAGTCAGCTTCCAGCTTATACTGAGCACTAGCATGGTCAGGCCAGGGTCTAGATTTCACTGTTTTGTTTCACACATACCAACACTTCACAAGTTTGACTTGTCATACCTTGTCTGCTAAGATACAGGCGCTGGCAGAGCGGCGAGCTGTTGCTTCCTTGGCCGCGCGCCACCTTCGGCATGGTCAGCGTATGCAGCAACTTCGTCGAAGCCTCCGCAGACCAAGCCCCAAGGAACCCCAAAGGAGTGAGTTTCAACCCATTTTGGATGTTGCACACCATGGCAGCCAAGTGTTTCCGGTGTACAGGCTGCCTCGACTCATGCACGGGCACCTCTCCGGCCATAACCTGGTCCAGTAAGCCCTGCAGAGGCCTGGCGGGCTGACCCGCCGGTACCACAGGCAGCACAATGACGGCGTGGTTGTTCTGGAGCATGACGCTGCCGGCAACAGGCACGGCCATTGGGGACGGGAGGACGCATACGACACGAGTGCAGGATGGAGCCAGAGGGATGCAGCAAAGTCAACGGGAGTTCTGGAGCAGCCACAAGCATTCTACATGGACTTGCAGATGGATGATGTCCAGACGGAGAAGGACCAGACCGAGAATGACCAGACTTGAGATTCTCAAGTCAGCGTTCAGACTTGAACATCTCAGGTCGGTATTGTTCGGATCCAAGGTCCAAGATCCAAAAAAACTTTCTTGGATCCAGCCCAGAAATCTTGGATCCATACGTTACTCAGACTTGAGTTCAGAGTTGAGACAAACTCTTTGTTCTTGTTGTTGTCTCCTTTGTTCAATGTGTACTCACACCCATCAAGTTTTACTAGGAAAAAAAAGTGCCCCAAATATGGAATTGTTACTGTAAATACCAGTGAAATATGACTTTGGGTGGGTTTGGCGGGGTACCGTATTTATTAATGTATCTGTTCTGTCTTTTGTTTCTTTCCCTTCCTGTCGGCCCGCGAACCTCATCAAAGATCAGTAGTGTGCCTGTCTCGTCGCATCTCTTGCGAAGCGCCAGCAGGAACTCTTTGGAGCCAGGCACAACACCACCTTCGCCCTGGATAGGCTCCACGAACCTTGGGTTGTTCTTGGGTGTCCCACACCATCACACAGTCGCGCATACGAGCAAACGCGGGTGTCGAACACTAAACGATGGATTGGCCCGAAAGCACCATGGCAGCATGGCAAACAGCAGCTGCTTGGAGATGATGTAAATTTAAATAGTCAAAGTGCTATTGCGTTTGTTGATTAAGTTTGTGGAAACCATGCTGCTGCTGATTATGAAACGAGATGCTGATAGTCCATGAGGAATAGTAAAAAGGACAAATGACTAGAAGTCCTGTGGTTTGATAAACAAACGAAGGATTATTCTGAAAAACATGGCCAGGACATGAGGACATGCGCATAACAACAAAATGAAAATAGTAATAATGATGACCTCACCTCACCTCGCCTCACCTCAATGACATGATATCACATCACATCACGTCACGTCACATCACATGACATGACATGACATTACATGACAACAATGATGGGGCACCCGTCTTCAAAGCCTTCGGGTGGCAAAAAGTGCACTCGCATTTCGAGTCCGTCAACGATGCAAGTCGAGGGCCTGCAAAACACCAACCCTAAGTTCGAGCCCCTGTATAAATTATGCGTTTAGAATACTTTCACCGGTGGATCCGCTTCAGATCATCTCGCACTGCGCTTTGAGCCATCAGATTTGACTGGCTGTAGAAAGTGTCACTTCAACGATTCTGCATGGAAGGTGTCTGCAAATCCTATAAAGCTCGAGGGGGCAAGACATTCCACTGCGCACACAATCGGCAAAGGAATCTGCTGCGCGTGGGTAGCAGCCCTTCAATCACGCTGATTTGCAATTGCATCGAATGGAAAATACACCAGAATGGAAAACAATTCATCAAACAGCCCCAACACATGAGAATTGACAGGGGCTCTTTGAGAGTGCCAAGGCCTTTTTGAGTGGCTCACAGGCACGATGATGTGGTGCGGCACAATGAATTTGAATCGGGGTGGAGTGTCCAAGTCGGACGCCATTCTTTCCTTCCTGCAAGATTTTGAGTGTCAGGTGTTATGCCTTCAAGAAGTGAATTTGAACCGTTGGAGCTCTTTGTCCTACATTGAAGACTGGCGGTGCAAGGGGTTCTCTTGTCTGTTGGGGAATTTTGATGACGACTCGGGTCTTTTCCGGGTGGCCATCATCTCGCGGTGGCCCATTCGTCAAGTTTTTCTTTCCGATATTTCTTCCAAAGATCGGTACTGTGCTGGAGTCATTGAAGTTGCTCGTTCTGGTGGCATTGAGAAGATTGTGATTTGCACTATCTATGCCCCGGTCGGTAATGATTCTTTGGCAGGCTCTTTGACATCTGAGGTTGTTGCTGCTTTGGCTGCGCTGACAGATCAGTGGCTGTTACTGGGCGATTTCAACACGACTCAGGATAGCCCTGGTGTGGGAAAATTGTTGTCTACTGGAGCTGCTTTTGCTTTGGATGAGGCCTTCGAAGGCCAGGGTGAGTTGCCGGGTACTTTCTCGGAAAATAGACGCATCGACTTTGGCTTATCCAGTCATCGACTACATGCCATTGAAATTGACCATGCGCCTGGAGTTGGTGATCATCTGGCGGTGCGCTATCAGTTCAATTTTTTGCTTGATTTTGAGAGCTGTCGGCAACCACGCCGTTCAACTTCTTTTGCATCTGACAAAGAGGTTGGGGAGAGGTTTCGTGATTGTTGGTCCGCCTCCTCCTTTGAGGCAGCTCTTGAGCGTGATGGGGATGAGGCCTGGCAAATTTTGAGCAATTGTGCTGAGCAGTCTATTTTCCTGGATTGTGCTGGCGCTACGCTCAGATCTCAGTTTTGGTCTCCTAGAGTGGTGAAACCAAGAAACAAGGGTACAGTTTTTGATGGAGACCCTCACAGTGTTCGTCTTCATCGGCTTTATCGACGTATGAAGCACTTGGCAAATTTCCCTCTTGATGACAAGCTTCGAGAGAAGATCCATCGTGATGTGTGTGCTTTGACCACATCCTTTCCTGCTCTGAATGCCATAGGCTATTTTGATGCAGAACTGCATGTTGAGTTGGTTGCTGACATTGTTGGTCATGCGGCTGAAGCTTACAAACGTTTCAAGTTGCAGGAGTGGACTGATCGGTTGAAACCTGATCCTCAGAGGCAGGGTGCATGGCTTAAGAAGAAGTCCAGACGCAGATCTCTAGGGCTGATGTCAATGGCATTGCTTTTGTGGATGATAGAACGTTCTGGAGTGATTCTGCAGATCGGTTGACTCGAGCTAAGCACTATAGTGACCTGTTTGATGAAGCTTTCGGCTTTCATTGTGCGCCTAGCAAGTGTCACATTGCATGTCGGAGCGAGTTGGAGGTGGGCAAGGAGGTCCAGCATGCTTTTGGCTACAGCTTGGGTTGCCGCCTTGATGTTTTAGGTCTTTGCTATAATTTGGAGCTTGGGACGCTCCCCCAGTTGTCTCGCTTCAATATTGCCAAGGCTCTCACTAGGTTGCGATTCATTCGAGCAGTTGCAGGCACCTTCTTTCACAAGAACCTCCACATTAGGCGCTTTGTGTTTCCGCTTTTCACTTGGGCTGCTGGACTATGTGAGGTTCCTGCGGATTTTTTGAAGTCCATGCAGGAAGGAGTGCGACATGTTTTCGAGGCCCGCTTCATGGCTGAGGCGCCAAATTGCATACTGCAGGAAGTGGCAGGGTGGGACAGCGACCCTGTGTTTGCTGGTGAGTGGGCTTCTTTAGTTGCAGGCCTTCGACATCATTGTAGTAGTTTGCCCTGGCAGGAACTTCTTGAAGTTGAGTTTGCTGTTCAACCATGGCATCAGCTTATTCCTGGTGTGAAACCGCTCCTTGATCATCTTGGCTGGTGGGTGAGTCGCGATGCTTCCTGCATTTGTCGCCTAGATTCTGCCGGCCATGAAAGACGTTTTCAGCTTGGGTGGGACCCACCAGCAATTCTTCATGAATGGCTCTGTGACTTTCACAGACGTGTTGCTTTGAAGAAATGCAATCGCATTCGGCGTTCCTTGCACAGAGAGGATCCTGGTCTTCAGATTGCTGGAGGTTTAGATCTGCCTGGCATTGCCTGGCGCTCAACCTGGCGACATGTGCGTCTTTGCGGGGCACAAGTCAGCTTGGGCCTCAACCGGCTCACGGTTGCTGCACAACGCTTCCTTAGCGACCGGCTGCTCTGTTTGGTGGAAACATCACGACTGTAATAACTTTGCTGCGGATGATCCTAGATGGCTTTGCCCTTGCGGATTGAGCAAACCGAGTCGGCCCCATTTGTTGTGGAATTGCGAGGCTATGCGGCATCTTCGTCCGGCTGTTGCTCCCCCGACCAATCGGGTCGAAGAAAGATTGATGGCCAGAGTTGTTGCTGAGAGGCCCCTACCTCCAAATATTCTTCAAGATCCTAGCTGGGTGGTTTCCATTGCCAATGCTCTTACTGAGGCCATTCAGGGTGGCCCTTTGATCCCGGTGGCTACTGACGCTAGCTCAAAGGATGCTGTGGGTGCTTGGAGCATCATTCTTCCTGGTGTTGGCAAATCCTTTGCTGGACCCTTGTGGGGCGAGGATCAGGGTTCCTTTAGAGCTGAAGTGATTTCTATTTGGTTGTTGCTTCGGGCATTGCTGTCCTTGAATCCGGTGTGGCCTGATAAGCTTCAGATCTACATCATATGTGATTGTACCGCTGCTCTTGCAACTCTTGAGCACGGAAGCTCTTCTGTTCCTCTTTTGGGACGTGATCTTCTTAGAATGACATCGTTGTGTCGGGAACGGCGCATTGAGCTGCACACTCAGTGGGCTCCGGCCCACGATAGACACGTCCCCCTGTGGAAGCCTAGTGGCCCCGTCGATGAGTTGTGTTTGAGGCGCTGGAACCGATTGGCTGATCGAAAAGCCAATTCCGAGGCCTCACGGTGGCTGTTGAATTCCCAGCGAGCTGTTTGGTCTCGCCAGCGCTCTGAGGCGCAGCATTGGGAGGATGAGGTGATCCAGGCGATGGCTAACATTGCTAGCCACTATGCATCCCTCTGAACTTTGAGTTGGTACATCTAGGACTTTGGCATCCTGATGTTTCTACAATCTTCATCTTCATCTTCACATGAGAATTGAATATGTTTTGCGTGAACAGAAGAAATCATGCCCAGAAGCACTGCGCAAGTCTCCTCGTCAATTGCATCCAGACTGTCCATGTCATTGTATTTTATGAAACCTGCTGAAGGCATGAGCGGCTCGAAGGGCTTTTTGTAGCCTTCCTGCGCAAAGGTGCACATATCGAAATCCAACCCCGAATCTCAACAGACCAAACAAGCAAACATGCAAGCATTCAAGCAAAGTGTTGTCCCAAGAATTCTGCACAAGCAGCATGCCCATGACCCACCCGTCTTCACCTTCCAAGTCAAAGCGAGAGCACCCATTGTTCGTCCGTGGAAAGCATTCCTTGGTGGTCTTTCAAAGTAAGCACTTGCTTGAAAAACTGTGATGGTTGAGCCAAAAAAGCAGCAACGCCGTACCTAGGTAGCTAGGCATGCTCAGGATACTGAAAAGCCAAGTTGCTCAAAGGCAAGGAATTTGCTACGTGCTTCCCCTCGAGAGAAGTGATATTTCCGTGCAAACCTTGGGCCATTGCCAAAAACGTGGGAACAATGTGGCAACCAAAAGAATCCACTGTTTCAAGAGGCATCGTATCGAAACTGATCAAGTCGGTCCCTTAGGAAGAAATGTCCAATATAGTTGGGCCAACCGAGTAATTGCTTTTTGTACCTGTTTGTGGAACTCTGATAAAGTGGAGTCAACCATTCAATTGTTTTAATGACAATCCAGAATTCCAGGCACAATCGAAGTGCTCGTAGCTACTGAGTGATTGCTGGATCTTCGCGTTAACATGTTTCAACGGAACCATGTAGGTACATAACATAAATCAAATAGACAACGCAAATGCATACACTAAATCAGGTTGTGTGCAGTGGCAAACGTGGTCGCCGCAAACATGATTTTCCTGGTGGGAGCGTAGTCGCAGCTAAAGTGATCTTTAAAGGGTACAGAGCGAGCGGCCAACACTGATTTCACCCTGTGTTCTGGTCTGGCCTCCAAACTACTTGTGATGGCTCCAACCTAGCGATGGTCTCCAACCTAGAAGCCATGGCCTCCAACCTACTCGTGATGGCCTCCAACCTAATAGCGATGGCCTCCAACCTA